GGTGGCGGGGCGGATGGCGGTGGAGCTGCCGGAGGTGGCGGGGCGGAGGGCTACTCTGGAGGGTTCAGTCACGGAGGGGTGTATGGGGGAGGGAAAATATGTAAATTTGGGTGCTGTAGCGAGTCGCATGGGTACAGTCATAAGGGTGGGGGCTATTTCGCCTGCACGTGCTGCGGAACCTTTGCAGAGGGCAAAGCCTACAAAGAAGCTCAAGCCAATGCGGAACACAATAGTTAGTGTTCTGATTGATCGAAGTTCGTGTATGTGTGTATGAGTATGACGGACTGTAGTCTTAAATAAATGTGTGTGTGCCCCTCGTGTTCAAACTTCAAGCTATGACAAATTGAGACGCGCGCTTTTTTTAATCGGCATCCTTAACTTATGCTCCAACTTTTTAATCGACGTTACATATTCTCGGAAATTCAATACTATGCCTAGGGCTACGAGTAGATAGAATACGGTTAACCCAAAATATTAGGTTCGACCGAAACCAAATCGGATATTCAATTTGATCTTTTTTATCTTAAATTTTGGGTTTCAGATCGGATTGCTTGTGGGTTCAAATTGAACCGAAAAGCTAATACTATCCCAAAGTTTGCAAGGTACCCAATAGATTAATGAGAAAATTACCTAGCATACTTCCAAATATCTCTTTTATTACATATTTACAATTCATATTTTATTAACAAAACTACTAAATCTACCATATTCATTTGCATATATACTAGAATTCAAGTCTAGTCATATGTATATTTAATTAATAATTATTTAAGACTCTGATTGAATGAGATTAACTTTTTGTAACTTCGAGAACCCTCACGCATCTCCAATATTCTCTATTCTTCTTCTTCTTCTTCTTCTTTGTTTCTCCATTCTTTTTTTTCATTGAATTGCTATAAAGTTGTATAAAAAAGACAAAAAATCGATGGAGGGGAGAAGGAATCGCGGCGACGGCGACACTAACGTTCGTGGCGGCAGTGACACTAACGTAATTTGCAGCCGCGGCGGTGGAGAAGAGGATTTGGCGAGCCTTCGGCATCTGCATGATCAAGAAGTGGATGGAGAAGAAATCTGGCAAGAAGATCGCCGGGGATCTGCCCTTGTTGATGAAGAAGCCCCGGAGATCGAGTCGGATGCCGATACGGTGGCTTTTTTTTTCGATCCTTACGGTAGTTTTTAAAAGAGACAACAATGGACTCCGATGACTGTGCGTCCCTCCCCTCATCCTTCCCAACGAGGAGGTCAAGTTGGAGATGACGAAAGCGACACCTGAAGCTCGGGATCGTGGAGATGTCAGCAGTACATATTGTGTCTATATACAATATATTTTCAATATTTATTATCATATACACAATCATATATATGTTTTCAATGAATTGATCTTAGTATGTTTAGTTTATAAAACAGGTTAATGCAAGGACTAGGTTTTCCATGTTCAACACAATTCTCTACTATATGGTTATGTTGAGTATATAATCAGTATTTTGCTTTTTTACTAACATATCAGGTTAAATTGACAAGGTGTCTGTACAATTGGACACTCTATGTTTATGTTCAATATATAATGTATTGTTGGGGTTTAATAATTTACACATGTGTGTAAAATTACTTCCTTAATATGTGTTTATGTTGATTATATATTGTGTTACTTTATAATGGTATATAATATGTTTATATTGAGTACATAATCCATTACTAATGTCACAGTTACATAATTTTGTTTTTCTAAGTAATGAATTACATCAAATAAACTCACATAATACGTATAATCAGTGGTGTATGATTTTTTATCAACCTACAGGCATAAGTTAGGATATAGTAACTTTCTATATATAACGGACTTGTATATTAATTTTCTTAATCTAAAACACATGATGTCCGCAATTTAAGGGGTGGAGCGTTTTTTTTTCCCTTTTTTGTTGCAAATTGATTTGGACATATATACAATTATTTTTATCAATATGATGCAAATAAAAAGGTGCAAAGCTTATAAATGCAATTATTTTCGAACGGCCAGGAATGTAAATTGGCCAATATTTTTCATGTTCTGCAGTTAAGAGGGCCTTGTGAATCTATAAATTGGGCGGCTAGTCAAAATATATAATAGGCCCAAACAAATAAGGGTTCACTGGGCCGAAACTCAATGAGCTTTTCAAGCGGAGAGAGAGAGAGAGAGAGGAAGCTCGACAAAGATCGGAGAGGAAAGACCAGAATCACCCTCCGGATCTCCGTCCCCGGTCAATCTCCGACCGAACGAAGCAACCTGCAAGCTAGCAGGACAAACATGGTGCTTGTGTACAAAGCTCCAACGAGGTAAGTTCCTACTCGTGTGAAGCCTAAACCCAACTGCCCACACTGAATCTGAACTTCCTTTTGTAAGTATTTATTTTGTTGTAATAGTGTAAAAGTATAGTCGTGAGAGAAGGAATTGAAGAGGCTCTTATTAACTTCTGCTCCACTTCAAAATTGATGTCCGCTGGCTGAGGATTGATTGATTTATATTTTATGCTTCTAACCTATTGGGATAGTTAATTGCATGTCTGATATTATGAAACTTGTGGTGAGAGAGAGAGAGAGAGAGAGAGAGAGAGAGAGTAGATGAAATGAACATATTAATTCATTTATTGACTTCTTGTTTGAATTTGGATTTCTATTATAGTTTGATGTGCATATGATTTTAGGTTTCCCAAGGTATAAGCAATGAGAGTACTTGTATTTATTTTATTTCATGAACTTCCTTCCTGAACTTTTGGCCCACATCTGGAAAGCACAAACTTGAATGCAATTTCCAAAATTTGTTTTGAGATTTCAGTTCATGAAGCAATTTTGTCAAGTCACAGATCTTATTCCCGCTTGTTCAAGGTTGAAAATTGATATTAGTGTAACTTAGATATGTTGATCAGAATTTGGCACGGAAAAATAGTGTATTTTTCGATCTAACAGTAAAAACATAGCATATAATGCCTAAACGATGAGTAAATAACTGATTCTCTTATGGTACATATTACCGTGCATACTGTGCAACCCATGGCTTGATGTAGTTGATTGGTGCTTAAATCTAAGAGTAACATCCAGAAAATTTTGTAAGGTGGGAGGACCAGACATTTAATCAAGCCTTTGAAAGTACGGATTTGATGAACCTAAAAACCATTTGACATCTTAGTTATTGAATATTTGTATTCACATTTTTCTGGTGGTTGGTAGACAAATCCTTTTCACATCTCCTGAAACTAATTTCTGTGATAGCTATATTCAAGTGGAAATGCAGTTTGAAGAGATATTATGAATTACCAATTGAGCAAAGGTCACAGTGATTCTGTTTTTATGTAACATTTATCTTATTCCACAATTGTTCATCTCTCTTGGTTCTCACTCCTCTGACTGTTTTGTTCATGACGTCTCTTTTGCAGTTAACTTGGTAGGTATTATCATTTCAACATAGAAGATGAACATGGAAATGCTGAGTGCTGCTTGACATCGCATTGTATTCGTTTATCATTTGGTTTTGACGATCTGCTCCCAATCCGTCAAGGCATATTATAATTTGCTACAAATTGTTTGCGATGATGGAAATAAGTTTCCGGTCTCTTTTTCTCTTTTCAGCACTATTTCGTGTCTTGTTAATTTTGTATGGGGAGTGGCAAGATGCTCATATGGAGGTTAGGTACACGGATGTGGACTATTTTGTGTTTTCTGATGCTGCTGCCTTAATGGCAAACGGAAAATCACCTTACCAAAGATCAACATATCGATATTCGCCGCTTATTGCTTTTCTTCTCATACCTAATTCATTTCTACATCATTCGTGGGGAAAATTTCTTTTCTCAGCATCAGGTGAGTTGTATTAATTGATGACCAAACTTCTATAACTCTCCATGTGACTGTAGATATTGTTCTCAGTAGATTTTCGGTTATATGTGTAACTTTGTTATTGCTATTTCTACAACTATTTATTATCAATTAATTATAAAGTTTTGTATTTAGTTAAATTTGCAGAATTCGTGCTTCCAAATTTCTTTTGCCTAACTATTTTCTGGATAACCTTTTCTTTTTAGGCAAAATGAGAAATACAATGCAAAAGAGAAGAAAATTTTGAGAAAATACAAAAATAAAATAAAAATAAAAAATAGTTCGACGGAAAAAGGGACCTCACTATTGAAGTTATCGCGTTTGTTTGAAAACATTGGTGGGCATATGCCAACATTAGGAATAGTGGGATATTAATGTTGTATGTTTATGTTATGTTACGAATCTGTTCAATATGCACTACAAGTGGTAATACATTGTCGATGATAATCAGATCCTGATGTATCATACACACGGCAGATCTTCTGGTTGGGTTTCTTATCCACAAAATTTTGAAGTTACGAGGAGTTCCTGAGAAAATCTGCACTTATTCCACAATGTTATGGCTTTTCAACCCATTTACCTTCACCATTGGAACGCGCGGCAACTGTGAGCCTATTGTTTGCTCCATGATTCTTTGGATCTTAATGTGTTTGATGAATGGTACGGTTTCTATACTTACAGTCCATATCTTCATATCAACCTCTGTTTCTTAAGTTGCATGCAATACAAAATTTATTCATGCAACGAGAAATATGTATAATTCTTCTTACAGCATAAGAGGAATGAATTATTCCTGCTGATATTCAGACATTCGTGATGCTGATAGCGTGAGATTAGTAAAATAAATGTTGTGTGTCACATGAACTTATATCAGGAAAATTATTCCGCTTTCTGCTACATCATCAACCAGTGCAGGCAATATATTTGTTGCATTTCCCCCACTTGTTTTTTTTTTTTGTCTTCAACACTGAAAAAATCATGCTTCACTAAGAAGTTGTACTAATGTACACATAAATGATGCATGTACTATTGAGCTGTACTTCATACCCAGATGTTAATTTCTCTACTCTCGTTTTTGGACCACAGATCGTTTCTTGCAGGCTGCATTCTGGTATGGGCTTGTTGTCCACATGAGAATATATCCAATAATATACGCAATTCCTATCATCTTAGTTCTCGATCCCCTTCATTTTCGACCTGGTAAAAAGCCATCCCTTGTGCATTGGAGTTCTAGATTGTTAAACACATCCTGGGCTTGGAAAAACTCAAAAATCACTTATTACCACTATATCTGGAACTTTTTCATGAGCATATTCACTTGGAGAAGACTTGTGTTTGGGATTATCTCAGCATCTACTTTCTTCATCTTGACCGGATTGTCATTTTATTTATATGGCTGGGATTTCTTGCACGAGGCCCTGCTTTACCACCTCACACGTACGGATCCACGTCACAATTTCTCCATATACTTCTACCACATATACATTCACTACGAACGCGAGTTTTCTACCCTGGAAAAGTTGATTGCCTTTCTGCCTCAATTTATAGTCCAGCTTATTTTGATTTTCCGCTTCGCGCTCGACTTGCCTTTCTGTTTCTTTCTGCAGACACTAGCATTCGTAGCATTTAACAAGGTTAGTCGGACCATAAAATATCTTACCCTATTCTTATTTTACTATTATAGTTCTTATAATTTCTTTTCCTTNTTCAGGTCATAACAGCACAATACTTTGTATGGTTTTTCTGTCTATTGCCTCTAATACTGCCATGGAGCAATATGAAGCTTAAATGGAGAGGCCTGGCTTGCTTGTCTTTGTGGATTGGAGCTCAAACCCATTGGCTGATGTGGGGTTACCTGCTCGAATTCAGGGGCAAGAACGTCTTTTTGCAGCTATGGCTGGCGAGTTTGTTATTCTTGGCAGCTAATACTTTTGTTATTGTCAGTGTTATCGGTAGCCATCTATACTGCCCTCTGTTCAACCCGGTTGCAAGAAGCAGATCCAATTGAATCCACGAAATCCGACTAGCTTAGTTTGTCTAAAATGATATTCTGAATCTGAAGTTTAGAGCTGCAATTTTTGAAGGTTGATTCTGGAAATTAGATGGGGTATTTGAAGATATGTTTTGTTTGTGGTCTGCTTGTTTGTTATCATTGATTAAATTGAATCCCTGGTAAACTACTCAATACATTTTCTAGTGCTATAGCCTATATGTATAATTCATAATAACATTCTTTTTACTTCAAACCAACCAAGTATTCGTTATATAAGCTGATCAGTACTTGTTGTGTGAGTTGGCTAACCTTTAGCTGGGTCGATCTGTTGAAATAATAATCATATTTATATTATAAAATGTCATATTTTTTTTTTATTTCTTTTATAATATTAAAAATTGCATATTTATAAATAGAATGTCGGTCTACCAAGGCCAGTGAAACTGATACATTGATACTTTTGAAGTAAGAAAGCATAAATGCCTCGTCATCTCACAAGTATAATATATTGCTATAGTCGATGTGGGAAAAGGACGCGCAACATCCAGTTTCATCCAACTGATTGTTTGTGGTCTCTTTAAATCCATTATTATAACTGTATTCGTTTTTTTAAGTTGTATAATAGTCCAATAAAAATATGTGATCAAAGCACGGTGATTTTGTATATTTCTTTCCTTTGTTTTTTTGTGGGAAGGTTTGGTACTTTTTAATTAGAAAAGTAAAATGAGCTGGTCCTTAGCAAAAACTGCAATAAATACAATTGTCATACTGTCAAGATGTTTGGATATAATTGTAGTCAAAAAGACAATCTTGCCCCCCACACCTGTGTACTTTTTTCACTAGGCGGTTCTTGCACAACGTGCCAATGCAGAAAAAAAAATTCTGCAGCAAGGGTCTGCAGTGACATAATCGTGCAATTCGTACAATTATTACTGAGCTTACTGAAATCGAACTGTAATTATCAAGGCCCACGGGTCATAGCTCAAAACAAAGGCCCTCTAAGCTCACAAGGATGAATTCATTACTAGCCATAGTAAAATTAAATTAGCAATATCATGACATAATGTATGGCCCAGGCCCAGTCGAGGCGCATGTTCAACCGTCTAAAGATGACGTTAAGTTATCAAAAGTCACTGACTGGGTTTCAAATCAGCTAGGGCTGGTCAAAAGAAAGACTACAATAATAAGTTCATCCTATCAATATAGCCTCATATGGCAAGATAATAATTTAATATAAATGTATGTAATGCATTGATAAAAGTAACATCTTATTAAGGATTGGTACTTAGAAGAAGATAGTGAATACTTTCCAACATTTGTTTATCTTAATAAAGATATTGACTACATACTATTTTACTACCATCCCCTTAATTATTTGCCTCTGAATGAACAAATTTAGTACATGAAATGATGAATGAAGCATAAATCCTCCCTTTCTTAAATCAACTATAATACTTTGGATTTAATTACTCTGGATTTTATCAAGTAGTTTTAATAATGGACATTAGACGTTGGAAAATGATTTTTTTTTTAAAGAAAAATACTCTCCCAACGCTATTCGTCTATTACGCTTTTCCCCGTGTATGTGTACCTAGGGGATATTTATATAGGCTATACAAATGACACTAAAATCATCTAAAACTCGTTGTAATTCGTGCATTTGTACATAAAGTTATATGATCAAAAATAAAATAAAAAAAAATATAAACAATAGTAAAAATCATACATACTTATTGAAATAAACGTTTTAAGAAAGATAATCTAAATATTATTAAACACTTGTTTATATACAACGTTCGTGGTTTTCCTATCGTAAGAATCTTCATCACCACAAATTATTATTTTCAAATCCATCCGGCTCATAACTCTGGAAAGCGCCACGTATAATTGTCCATGGCTAAATACATGGCTCTTCAGTAGTAAGCCGATGTGCGACAAAAACTACTCTTGATTATTATTGATTGTCATAGCATGGGAAACAATGAGCGGGAATTACCTGCACTGAAACTTGAAATGTACCCTCAAAATCGGATGATATAATTGTGAGCCTAAGAATAAGAACCTTATCACTAGCTCTGGCACCGGTTAAAATTTTGCATACGGGGACATTACTGTTGAGCTTAGTAATAACCAATCGAGTACCTGTTGATCTCAAAATTCAGACAACAAAAACAAATCAATCGAATTTGTTCACGAATCAAAGAAAATATAAATGATAGATAGAATTTGATCAACAGTACCGTTGCACAACCCCATGGAGTGATCAATGTTTCTCAGCAACATCATTGCAGTGCCAACCTTCAAGTGCAATTTATGATTCAGAAGCCCCGAGCACTTAATTCCATTGAGAAATTCAAAATTATGAAGATCGTGACGAGAGTCATATCCAGCATCTGACTTGCAAGCTGTGTGCGAACTCAAATAAGTCCTTCCCTCGGAAGTTCAATGAGCTCATGTACTCGTTAACGGACTCAACGACATCAAGTGTCGGAGTGTGTATGGCTCTGTCCTTGAGATAACTAAGATCGTCTCCCGAACTCCTAAACATGGGGTGCGTAGTCTCGACAATAGCAATAATAGGATCCCCTTTTGATTTCAAAAGAATATCGTCGGGAATGTCGATATCAGCACATCCATCATTCGATCCACCAATTGTACAATCGTCAATACTTGCAAGTCACTCCGAGAAGCGCTTCAACTCATCGTACTCGTCTCCCCCACCAAGGCGTTGAAGCCTCATATTTTGATTAAGTCTCAAAACGATACAATCCCGCCAAAAATTGGATGAACTGATGCTGGCATTCACGATGTCACTTGGAGTGCTTTAGGGACAACAAGAAGTATCTGTCTGAAATCGCCACCAAATACAATAGACTTGCCGCCAAATGGGAGATTTTTCCTAGATGGATCCACTATCTCCATTAAAGCTCGCAAGGTAGTGTCGACCACCTGGAAGCAATACTTACTCATCATCGGTGTTTCATCCCAAATGATCAACCGACACCGTATTATCAATTCCGCCAAAGGACTTTGCTGGCTAATATCACACGAAGAACTTTCCGTTGGGTTAAAGGGGATTCTGAATCGAGAATGCGTAGTACGTCCGCCAAGAAGCAAAAGTGAAGCTATACCACTGTATGCAACATTCAACACTATTTCGCCTTTAGACCTCAAAGTTGAAGACAAAGCCCTCCAGGCATAAGTTTTACCAGTGCCTCCATAACCATATACGAAAAACATGCGACCGTGGTTACTATAAACCGAGTGCATTATCGAGCGATAAACGTTGAGTTGTTCATAAGTCATAATGGCGACCAACTTCTTATTTTTATTCGCGAGTGCACGACGATCGTAATTCAACTCATCCAACACAAGTCTGCTCATTTATGCATCATTGCGATCGAGATTAAGAAAAGGCATGGTACTGTATTCACATAAACTGGTACCACGTCTCCGCAATATCTTCTCAATCTCGACCAAAGTAAGGTTCTTTATCTGGTTGCCGCTGAACACCAACTCTGAAAGACAAACAAAGAAATCAACTATAAAGGACAAATAAAATATTATAGTTTATATCTTAAGCATGTATATATAATTTTTTTTAAATTACAACATCTATCAATTCGAGAATTATACTTCATAAACCAAAATATTATATTTTGGGAGATGACTACGGTCCCGTAACGATATATGAGATATATGATTTCGTTCCTTTATTTAGATGGTTGGATACTCACAAATTATTACTACATGATTTCATTCCTTTATTTAGATGGTTGGATACTCACAAATTATTACTAGCCTTTAAATATATGGAAGTTGTATATTAACTATACACATGCTATAATCTAATTGGTTGAAATAAAATGAATCATCCCTTTTTCCTACATTTTGTACCTTAAAGCACATAGTAGATTTATATAGTAATAAGTAAATTTATAAAACACACTTTCTCTCTCTACCACTATAACGCATGTCCATTGGTGGCCTTTCGGCCAACACGAAAACTGTAGCATCATTTGGGTTTCCAAGAAAGCCCAATCAGATCCCCATCAGCAAACCATCCATCAGCTCAAAGCTCAGTATTCAGAGAACACACACACAAATTCGCCTAAAACTGGCAAAACCACTAATTTCTCTCTCCAAAACCCTATCTTTCTCTTCCCCTTTTTATTATACCCCAAATTTGATTGCTGAAATTATTTCTCCTCAGCCTTCCCATCTTCTTCTGGATCTCAATAAATTCTTAAATCAACGGCCTAATCAACTGTCATCCCCTCTTACATTTATCTCTGCTCTCTCTGGTCTGTAATCTTTTTCCCCCCTTTTTTATTTCCCTTTTTTGATCTTTCATCACCTCTCTATTTTTTTTAGGGTTTTGTTCTCATGTTCCATCTAAAAATGGCAAAATGCCTGTCTGTGTCTATGTCTTGAACTGGGCTTACTATAATAATAAAAGCCCTTTTTCAAACAAGCACCTCATTGTATTGTATGCTGGTTAATTCCTTGTATCCTTAACAAAGTTTGTGCCTTTTCTGTTTTTTTCTTTTTGGGTTTGAAGGAAATTAAAAATAAAAAAAAAAAAATGGCGAGGGATAAGATTCAGATCAAGAAAATCGACAACGTGACTGCAAGGCAGGTGACTTTCTCCAAGAGGAGAAGAGGGCTTTTCAAGAAAGCTCAAGAGCTTTCCGTCCTTTGTGATGCTGACGTGGGCCTCGTCATCTTCTCCTCCACGGGCAAGCTCTTTGAGTATGCCAGCTCCAGGTCTTTCTCTCTCCTCTTTCTCTCTCTATATGTGTGTATGTATACCTACCATTTTCTCACACACACTCACAAGTTGGGTCGAATTTTTCATGCTTGTAGTTTCTGTTAATAAAAGAATTTCTGCAAGAAAATAAGTTCTGGTGGGGGGAGATTGAGTAGACTGATGTGATGATCAAGAATTTTTTTTTCCTATTATTATTATTATTATTATTATTATTATTGTTCTATTTTACTATAGTAAAGATGTTGGGCAGATGGGTCCTTAGACTGTGCCTTGGTTTTGATTTAATCCACTTGGAACAATTATTCAGGTATAAATATTACTGAAATCTTGGGTTTTGCTGTCGCTAGATTGGACATAGGATAATGGCTTCTCTTGAAATCATATATCAATTCTTAATTTTGTTATTTTCCCCATCTTTTTGCTCATGGCATTTTATTAGTGCGGGTTTATATTATAGGAATAATTTATGCTTTTTTTTTTTTNGCTGGCCAGTCCACTCTACGCTGTT